ATGTGTTCGGAAAAAGTAATCAAAATGACAAGTAAAGAAAGAAAAAGAAATAAAGAAAGAAAGAAAGAAAGAAAGACAGAAAGAAAAAGAAAGGAAAAGACAGAAAGAAAAGGAAAATAATGGAAAGACAAAAAAAACGAAAGGAAACTACAGAAAGAAAAGGAAAATAAGGGAAAGAAAGAAAGAAAGAAAGAAAGAAAGAAAGAAAGAAAGAAAGAAAGAAACACGTCAGGCTTGTTTATGTGTACGGAAAAAGTAATCAAAATGACAAGTAAAGAAAGAAAGAAAGAAAGACAGAAAGAAAAAGAAAGGAAAAAACAGAAAGAAAAGGAAAATAAGGGAAAGAAAGAAAGAAAGAAAGAAAGAAAGAAAGAAAGAAAGAAAAAAGAAAAATGCCAGGGTTTGTTTATGTACGACAAAAAAGTAATCAAAATGACAAGTAAAGAAAGAAAGAAAGACAGACAGAAAGAAAAAGAAAGGAAAAAACAGAAAGAAAAGGAAAATAAGGGAAAGAAAGAAAGAAAGAAAGAAAGAAAGAAAGAAAGAAAGAAAGAAAGAAAGAAAGAAAAAGAAAGAAACACGTCAGGCTTGTTTATGTGTACGGAAAAAGTAATCAAAATGACAAGTAAAGAAAGAAAGAAAGACAGACAGAAAGAAAAAGAAAGGAAAAAACAGAAAGAAAAGGAAAATAAGGGAAAGAAAGAAAGAAAGAAAGAAAGAAAGAAAGAAAGAAAGAAACACGTCAAGCTTGTTTATGTGTACGGAAAAAGTAATCAAAATGACAAGTAAAGAAAGAAAGAAAGACAGACAGAAAGAAAAAGAAAGGAAAAAACAGAAAGAAAAGGGAAAGAAAGAAAGAAAGAAAGAAAGAAAGAAAGAAAGAAAGAAACACGTCTGGCTTGTTTATGTGTACGGAAAAAGTAATCAAAATGACAAGTAAAGAAAGAAAGAAAGACAGACAGAAAGAAAAAGAAAGGAAAAAACAGAAAGAAAAGGAAAAATAAGGAAAGAAAGAAAAAAGAAAAGAAAAGAAAAATGAAAAAAAGAAAGAAAGAAAGAAAGAAAGAAAACGAAAGGCTTTGTTTAAAAGGAAAATAAAAGTACGGAAAAAAAGAAATCAAAATGACAAATAAAAAATGAAAGAAAGACAGACAGAAAGAAAAAGAAAGGAAAAAACAGAAAGAAAAGGAAAATAAGGGAAAGAAAGAAAGAAAGAAAGAAAGAAAGAAAGAAAGAAAGAAAGAAAGAAACACGTCAGGCTTGTTTATGTGTTCGGAAAAAGTAATCAAAATGACAAGTAAAGAAAGAAAAAGAAATAAAGAAAGAAAGAAAGAAAGAAAGACAGAAAGAAAAAGAAAGGAAAAGACAGAAAGAAAAGGAAAATAATGGAAAGACAAAAAAAACGAAAGGAAACTACAGAAAGAAAAGGAAAATAAGGGAAAGAAAGAAAGAAAGAAAGAAAGAAAGAAAGAAAGAAAGAAACACGTCAGGCTTGTTTATGTGTTCGGAAAAAGTAATCAAAATGACAAGTAAAGAAAGAAAGAAATAAAGAAAAGAAAATAACGAAAGAAAAAGAAAATAATGGAAAGAAAGAAAGAAAGAAAAAATAAAGAAAGAAAAGGAAAATAAAATAAATAAATAGAAATGTGCTTTGAATAATAAAAAAAGGAAAGAAATGAGAGGAAAAGAATGAAAGAAAATAAGAAGATGAAAAGAAAGAAAGAAAGAAAGAAAGAAAGAAAGAAAGAAAGAAAAGGAAAATGAATAAAAGAGACGAAAACAAAGAAGCACGTCAAACTTGTGTATGTGTTCAATAAAAAGTAATTCAAAAGATAAATCGAGAAAGAAAGAAAGAAAGAAAAAGAAAAGAATGGAAGGCGAAAAGAAAGGAGTGGAAAATAAATAAATAAAGAAAGAAAGAAAGAAAGAAAGAAAGAAAGGGAAAAGAAAGCTAGAAAGGAAGGAGAGGGAAAGAAAGAAAGAAAACGAAAGAAAAAGATAATAAATAAATAGAAATATGTTATGAAAAAGAAAGAAAGAAACAACACTGCAATGAGAAAGAAAGAGAAAAGGAAAAAATAAAGTGAAAAATAAACAAGAAGGGAATGAAGAAGTGATAAATAAAAGAACAGAAAAGAAACAATTGACACAAAGAAATAAATACAAAAGAAGGAAAAATAAAAAAACAAAAATTGTTTCCTTTTAGTAAAAACTTGATCATGCCTGACCTAAGGAAAGAAAAAAACATCCTATGCTAATGTTGGTAAAAAATCTGCTGTAAGGACAAATCTTCGATCCGAAACTGAAAAAAAGAAATTAGGAAAGAAAAGCGAAAAAAAAAAAAAAAAAGAAAGAACATGCAAAGAAAGAAAATGATTAGAAAGAAAGAAAGAAAGAAAGAAAGAAAGAAAGAAAGGATTCGTAAAATTGAAATCCCATGACAAATACTTGATTTATTTGCAACAACGCAGTTATTAAAAAAAAGAAAATGAAATGGCATCCCATAATCATAATTCTGTCGCAACTCTGTTGTTTTGAAATGAGTTTTGTGATTTGTCACAGAAGCAGAATTATGGCACCTTCCGATGTTCTTACAGAAACTGTAAAATCCAATTGCAGCGATGCAATTATTTTCAATAAACATCAGAATGCTCCCTCTCTCTATTTTTTATCATTCTATCTATCTATCTATCTATCTATCTATCTATCTATATATATATATATATATATATATATATATATATATATATATATATATATATATATATGAAAGCTTTAGCGATATTCTAATATATATATGAATATATATATATATATTCAAATATGTTTCTTTGGATAATATAGATCTTGGAAGAGAACGAAAGTACTTGGGTAGGAAAAAAGACTACGGTGCCCCCCTTGATGAATTCCATATTAACATCAAGAAATTATTATTATTATTATTATTATTAATTATAATAAAAACGTGTTGAAATCGCAACACAAAAGCTTTTATGTTTCAATACTATGACTGCACTCCTTCAGGTGATGGTAATTAACTGGTGATTAAATGATTTTTAAGGAAATTTAAAAGCAAAGTGTTACCACTTTTCCGAAAGTTAAAATGGGGGGCATAATATAAGAATTAAAAATAGACTTGTGAATATGTCTTGATTGAGCAATTAAATGTCTGATCTACGCTAAATAGAAAAGTAAGGTCAGAGGGTGGAGTTGGGGGAGTTATTTTTCCATGTCACGTTAAACCGGAACATAGACAGGCCATCATTGACGTTTGCGGAAAATCTGCCAGCGACAAATGTATCGTGATTGTAGACAAATATGACATGTTCAATTTTTTGAAAGGGTGTTGATATATATATATATATATATATATATATATATATATATATATATATATATATATATATATATACTGCCAGCAACCTTTCTTTCAAAGATATTTCGTTGAATATGACTGACTAGAAAAGAATTGATGAATTTTTTTGTTGAGTTTTTCTAGTATTTTTAAAATGTTCCGTTTGGTGCGAGTAAGGGACTGTAAAAATTGTCTCATAGTGTCTACACTTTTCCTTAGATATTTTCAAGTGGTTTCTTGTGATAAGGACCAAAGAAGGACACGAAGTGTTTGGGACAATAAAACACAACGAATAATTTTTACACTCCATTAGTTCCACCAAAGTGAAAAAAAAAACAAGAATATTAGAAATAAGTCAATAAAACCATATATATATATATATATATATATATATATATATATATATATATATATATATGAAACTTTTTTTTTATTCTTTAAAAATCTTTTTTTAAATTTTGTTTTTATTTCGATATGTTTTTTCGATATTACATTATATATTTTTTCGATTATTAATAATATTGATAATACTAATAATATTAATATTTTTGTTTATCTTATAATTTTTGTTTATCTTATATATTTTTTATATTTTTTGTTTATCTTATAATTTTTTTATCATATATTTTTTTATATTTTTTGTTTATCTTATAATTTTTTTTTATCATATATTTTTATATTTTTTGTTTGTCTTATAATTTTTGTTTATCTTATATATTTTTTATATTTTTTGTTTATCTTATGATTTTTTTATCATATATTTTTATATTTTTTGTTTATCTTATAATTTTTTAATATATTTTTTGTTTATATTATAATTTTTGTTTATCTTATATATTTTTATATTTTTGTTTATCTTTATAATTTTTTATCATATATTTTTATATTTTTTGTTTATCTTTATAATTTTTTTATCATATATTTTTTATATTTTTTTTTTTATCTTATAATTTTTTGTTTATCTTATATTTTTATATTTTTTGTTTATCTTATAATTTTTTTTTTTATCATATATTTTTTATATTTTTGTTTATCTTATAATTTTTTATCATATATTTTTATATTTTTTGTTTGTCTTATAATTTTTTGTTTATCTTATATTTTTTATATTTTTTGTTTATCTTATAATTTTTTTATCATATATTTTTTATATTTTTTTTATCTTATAATTTTTTTATATATATTTTTATATTTTTTGTTTATCTTATAATTTTTTTTTTTATTTTTATATTTTTTTTTATCTTATAATTTTTTTTTATCTTATATATTTTTTATATTTTTTGTTTATCTTATAATTTTTTTATCATATATTTTTATATTTTTTGTTTATCTTATAATTTTTTTATCATATATTTTTATATTTTTGTTTATCTTATAATTTTTTGTTTATCTTATATATTTTTTATATTTTTTGTTTATCTTATAATTTTTTTATCATATATTTTTATATTTTTGTTTATCTTATAATTTTTTTATCATATTTTTTATATTTTTTGTTTATCTTATAATTTTTTTTTTATCTTATATATTTTATATTTTTTGTTTATCTTATAATTTTTTATCATATATTTTTATATTTTTTGTTTATCTTATAATTTTTTTTATCATATTTTTTTATATTTTTGTTTATCTTATAATTTTTGTTTATCTTATAATTTTTGTTTATCTTATATATTCATTATATATTCACATTGTTATTTTTTCCTTTTATGCTATTTTATTTTGTTGAGAATTTTTTAAAATTAATGTCAAACGTTAACTGCAAAATATATCAATCTGTGTTTTTTGAAATTAACTGCAATATGCCTATATAAATTAATTTATTCTTCTTTTTCTTCTTTCCCAACTTTTTCTTTCCACCCCTGCTTCCACATTTGCTTTCTTATATCTTTTCTTCTCTTTGTCTCGTTTCCTGTGAGATGACTTATTAAATAGGTCTTTATCCCCCTCCCTTAATCTTAAGTATTTTAATAAAATTAGATTTAAAATTATTCCTATCTCTCCCTTCTCTCTCTAATTTCGAACATATCTGTGATACTCCTCCTCCCCCACGTCCTATCACCTTAAAACTACCCCTCAAAAGCGTATAAAGATAATACGTAAATTTAAAACCATTTTTCATGCTTGGAAATGTGATCTGAAGAACCAGGAAAAATACCTTACTGGGGAAAGAAAATATAATCAATGGTTGTCTCTTCTAATTTTAATCATATATATATATATGTGTGTGTATATATCTAAATATGTCTGCGTGCTTATGTATTATAATCTGATTGTGTTTGTATTGTCTTTCGCAAGAAATGAACTTCCGATCTTTAGCTATGATTAATTAATGATGAACATGTCCTTTTCATTTATGATCGATTTCATCACGAATCTTCTGTTAAGCTTGGAGACTAATTATACATTCTTAGTCCTCAAAGTGGAGTCCCATAGGGTCATAAAACCTCGGAGATATCTTTAATCATTTCTAAGATGCAAGGATTAAAACTTGAATCTAGCAATTGGACAATTTTGCTTTTACACGACTTGGACAATTTTGGTGATACACTCGGTATATATATATATATATATATATATATATATATATTAAGAAATGGACAATCTCGTACATTCATAACTGCTCTGGCGTATCAAATGTAAACAAATGACGTCATATATTAGGAAATGGACAAAGTCCGACAATTTATTTATTAAAGACATTTTTATGTTTAACGTTCTTTTTTATAGATACAAGTATTTAAGTAAATGCTCTGTTTATAATAAACAGTATTAAATAATATTTACCGGCCTGAATGTCCGAGAAATTTTCATAGAAAATATTCGTCCTTTGACAGGATTGGAACCTGCATCCTATACGGAACCGTCATTTACGCTGACGTGCCTTAACCGACTCGGCCACAAAGGAGCGTTCGGTAGGCAAGGTCGAATATAAAAAAGAACGTTAAACATAAAAATGTCTTCAATATATAAAAATAGCGTTTTAGCGGTATTCTAAATATTTCTCTTCTATGTACCGCATCCCTTCAGGACAGCTGGGTCATGACTCTCCACAACTTCCTGTAGCTTTGTAGCTCTTTCCCATCCTTGTCTTTTTGCTATCTCTTCTAATCCCAGGTCTGACAATCATTTACACAAGCTTGTTAGGTGTGTTATTCTGTTCCCCTCCCCAGTAAGCATGTGCCCCCCCCCAGGCAGTTAAGATGTTTGGGGTAGTAAGCACCAGCCCTGTTTATTATTATAGTCGATGATTCACCATAGGTAGAAAATAAGTACACAAAACAAAAAAAAAAAAAAAAATGCAAAAAAAAACAAAAAAAAAACGATGCGGAAACTAGCCCTTTTGGGGCTCCAACCTCGTAGGGTTGAGGATTCCTGCGCAGTACCCACCAAACCACCATGCAGATACAATATATATATATATTATTAGTTGATGGCTGATGCGAATATAAAAATAATTAAAATGGCGGATGGTCATAAAACCGCTGACTGGGGGTTCCATTTTGAACTCGGCCATTTTGGCAGAGTTCACAATGGAGCCCCCAAAATCGCGGAATAAGACCCAGGTTTAGATCGTAGTGATCGGGGAAGCATCCACTTTGGAGTCAGTTCCACAAAGCATCGGTTCCTGGGAAGACGCTGCTCGAGAGGAATCTACATTTCACCAACGGAATAAGAAAAAGATGAGGGTGGTTTGCTCAAATGTGTGTGACATGTCGGATCAAAGGCGTGAAGGTTAGAATTGGTGGAACTAAAGAAAGTTTTCATCTGAACACTTTCCTTGGAAATAGCGATAGAGCAGCGAGAGGTGTGCGACGTTTCGTCTGTGGAGAAAGAGGTTGTAGGGTGGAAAATTATTTGCCACCCACAGGGACGCAGAAACGCTTTTGGACTCTGTCGGGATTGGAAAGGGAAGACTAAACAGCTGCTGACATATATGGTAACAGTACTCCATTTTCGGCATCACCTGGATCTTGTAACAACAGAGCCTAGCCAGAAGAAGTGAGTACTTACTTGAGCAATACAGTGAACTGGCCATTTTTCAATATCTTTAGCGATGGGTCGTACGTACGGGTTCTGCTTGAGTCCTGGGTTAAGTTTAAGTTCCAATAAGTGCAAATATGGAACTCTGGTTTTAGTTATCA